AACCTAGGGGCCACTTGACCACTGAGCCACAACACATCCCCAGCCCTTTTTTATGTTTTATTTAGAGATGGGGTCTTGCTGAATTGCTTAGGGCCTCATTAAGTTGCTGAGCCTGGCTTTGAACTCATGATCCTCCTGGCTCAGCCCCCTGAGATGCTGGAATTACAGGCATGTGCCACCATGCCCGACTGGTGTTATTTTTATACAGGGAGGTAACAGCTTTGCAGCAAAAATAAGGAACAATTCAATAATAAAATTACATCCAAATTCTTCAATTTAAAAAGAATGTTTGAGAAAGCAAATTTCTCCTACTTCTCAACACAAGTACAATTCCATGTGTTGATCAATTAGAAAGAGACTGTATACTTATTTAGGTATGGAATTCCTGTTCTTAAACAAATATTTTCTAGCCAGGTGTGGTGACACACTCCTGTAATCCCAGTGGCCTCAGCAATTTAGTGAGACACTCAGAAATTTAGCAAGACTCTGTCTCTAAATAAAATACAAAAAAAAAAAAAAAAAAAGGGCTGTGAATGTGGCTCAGTGGTTAAGTACCCCTGGGTTCAAACCCTGGTAACAAAAAACCCAAGAAAAACACAAAAATATTTTCCAGACATCCATGTAGGCATATGTAATTATCCTTCCCTAGAAGAGTTCCTAAATAGCAAGTTTTTGTTTTTTCTCAACAGTGGATATTTCTGATCTTCACAAAAGCAGAGGATAAGAAAACCAAGCAAAGTGTTCAATTCTTGATTAAGGGCTCAGAAAGCATCTGTCTGTCATATATATTTTGTCCTTGTTCCCAAGGAAACACATTTGGATTCTTCTTTACTGGAGCTTTTGTATCAAGCTCATTACCTCCAGATTCTTCTTCTTTTTTTTTTTTTTTGGTTGATGATTGGACCTTTATTTTATTCATTTATTTATATGTGCTGAGAATTGAATCCAGTGCTTGCTAGGCAAGCTCTTTACTACTGAGCCACAACCCCAGCCCAAATTCTATCCATTTTTAAGAAAATATTTAATTATGAAAATAACCCAAGGTCTTAGGATATGGCTCAGTGGTACAGTACTTGCCTAGCATGTACAAAGACTTGAACTGGGTCTCTAGCACCACAAAACAAACAAAACAAAACCACTCAAAACCACAGGGAGGGTGTGGTCACACATGCCTGCAATCCCAGTGACTCGGAAGGCTGAGGTAGGAGGATTACAAGTTTGAGGCCAGCCTCAGCAATTTAGCATGGTCCTATTAACAACTTAGAAAGACCCTGTCTCAAAATAAAAAATATAAAAGGGCTGGGGAGGTGGCTCAATGTCTGAGCACCCCTGGGTTCAATCCCCAGCACAAAAAACAAATCATAAAAAACCCTCAAATCCTTAACAATATATGTAAGCATATGATGATTCAGTCTCTTCCATGCAGACCTTAAACCAACTTCCTAGATTTAATTGAAGCAGTTTTTGGAATTTTATGTATTTTTCCATGTATATATTATGAATCCTGAGTGTGTGTGTGTGTGTGTGTGTGTGTGTGTGTGTGTGTGTTCTCCAGAAAACTCATGTCATTTCTGCTTTGACTATAAACATCAGGTATTTTTAGTTTTTGTGTAAAAATCCCATTTAAAATCCATTTCTATATTCTGGACCATATCTCTTTTTACATGTTAAGCATTTTAAAAAAATCATTTCTATTTTAGCAGCTTAAGTGCTCAATTCAGAGATGCAACTAGGAAAAAATTGTATTTGCACTGATGACAGCAATTTTCCTTTCACTGTCTAGTTCTGTTCTCCCTGCTGTGCTGCTGAGAGAAAGAGGAAAGATCTGGGAACCACCCTATATAACAGGAGACCCGTTAGTTCTCTTCCCTTTTGGGGGAAACATCTTTCCCAATTTTCACTGGCTGGATGCATCCCCCTGCAAATGTGTCCTGGAGCAAACTATGCACATGAATAGTACCTATCCATAACAGTGAACAGATATTTCTGTTTCATCATGTTCATATAAGTGGATCTTACCTTTCTGAACAATTTTTTTAAATATTTATTTTTTTAGTTGTAGTTGGACCCAATACTTTTATTTTATTTATTTTTATATGGTGCTGAGGATCGAAGCCAGGGACTCACATGTGCTAGGTGAGCGCCCTACCACGGGGCTACAACCCCAGCCTCTCTTAACAATTTTTTTATGGTTTGCTTGAAAAGGCTTTTTTCACAATGTAAAATTATAAAAATGCTGTCCACGTTTTCTTCTAGTTTCTTATGATTTAATCATCACACTTAACATATTGATTTATATATGAATTTTAATTTTTTTGATATCAGTTACTCCTTTTTAACTTTCCTATTGATCATATAGATAATTAATTTTCAACAGAAGTAATACTATACTCCACTTAACTGATCCACCTAAACTCAAAAGTAAAGTAGGGTAAATAATTTTATTATGTTGGTCCTTTGTATCCTCAGATGAAGAATTGAAGTTAGATTAGATGGCTTCAGTGATGCTTCTGTCTGGGCAGGCAGACTGTGACTGAGAAAAGATTTCATGATCTTACTCTATGAAGGCACGAGGCACATAACACAAGACAGCACTTCCACATAATAACTTTACTTCTCCTTTTTCTTGATATGAGTACAGTGAGTGAAGGCCTGGCCACCATATGATAGAAGATTTATCTGATTGCTTTTCTATTGCTGAGTTGCTTAGGGCCTCACTAAGTTGCTAAGCTGGCTTTTCTATGCCTGATCATTACTTACAAAAAAAAAAAAAAAAAGAATAATTCTGAACAGGCTACCTGTGCCTATTTTCAAGAATGACCTGGATTTATATTTTTTCCCTTTTGATCTTTTTGTTTGTTCTTTGTGTTTGTATGTGTGTGTGTTTCGGGGTGTTGGAGACTGAACCCATGGCCTTGTGCATGCTAGGCAAGCATTCTACCACTGAGCTATACATTCAGTCCCATGGCCTTCTAATTAATATGATGCCAATATATTTGCTGTTGTTTGCTCTTTCAGTGTTGGTCCTCCAGAGTCTTACCCTCAGAAAGTTAAGGAAGGAATCATTAAGGACCAAAGATCAGAATTCATTTCTAGTGTTTTCTGTTTCTTAATCTCATATTGGGATCTTTGGCACTTCCATTTCTTTTTCTGGGACTTAAATACCACAATTTGCTGCAACTCTCCTTTTCATACTTCATATAGTTGTTTGTTTTGAAGACAGAGTCTTGCTAAATTACTTAGGACTAGGCTGGGGATGTGGCTCAAGTGGTAGCGCGCTAGCCTGGCATGCGCGCAGCCCGGGTTCGATCCTCAGCACCACATACCAACAAAGATGTTGTGTCCGCCGAGAACTAAAAAAAATAAATAAATATTAAAAAAAAATTCTCTCTCTCTCTCCTCTCTCACTCTCTCTTTAAAAAAAAAATTACTTAGGACCTTGCTAAGTTGCTGAGGCTGGTCTCAAACTGAGTAGCTGGAATATATAATTTTAAATGCAGAACAAAACAAGAATGCATTATGGTTTGCAAGAGTATCCCAAAGGCCCATGTGTTAAAAGCTTGGTTTCCAGTCTATGGCACAATTGGGAGGTGGTGGAAACTTTAGGAGGGGAGTCTAGAAGGAATAGGTCATCAGAAACATGCCCTTGGGGCTGGGGATGTGGCTCAAGCGGTAGAGCGCTCGCCTGGCATGCGTGCAGCCCGGGTTCGATCCTCAGCACCACATACAAACAAAGATGTTGAGTCCGCCGAAAACTAAAAAATAAATAAATAAATAAATATTAAAAAAAAAAGAAAGAAAAGAAAAGAAACATGCCCTTGAAGGAAATATGAGGAATTGGCCGTTCCCTGTCTCTTTCTTTGCTTCCCAACTATCATGAAGTAAACAAGCCCCTTCAACCACAGGATTCCATTGTGGAATGTGCCACCACAGGTCCAAAGCAACAGGGCTAAATGGGTTTAAGCCTCTGAAGTTGTGAGCCAAAATGAACCTTTCTTCCTATAAGTTGATTACTTCAGATATTTTATCCTAGCAACAGAAAGCTGACTAACAGAGTGCTTTTCTTAGCAACTTACAAATGAGTTATTCTATCACATTATACAAGGAAGCATCCTTAATTTGTTTTTGTTATCTGCCTTGCTATTTCTTATGGGGGTAACAGTCCTAGGGTTCCAGAACCAGTTTCCAATGTACAGTTGCCCTGTGTGTGGGATACCCAGGTTGGAAGCCAGAAGACAGAGTAGTGTTTCTTTGCAGTCAGATTGGGATTAATTTCTAAGCCACACAAAGGCATTGCTTTTTGTAAATCATGAGCAATTCATCTTATGCATTTGAATAAGTTGATTTCAACTTGTTTCAAATAAAAAATAAACAGACAAATGCAAAAAAGATACAGAGGTATAGTCATCTATTTTCTATTTGTTTTAGAAATTAGTGGTTCTAGAGAAGTTTCTACTTAGGGAGAAATATGTATTCGTCTCCTTTGCTTATAAGGTCCAGAGCAATGATTTCAATCACATTTAAATCACTAATTAAGGGAGCAGGGGTTTTTATAAACTGCAGCTAAAATTGAGAGTGATGCTGTGATTTATTAAAAGCAACTCTCACTGAAACCTAGGCAACAAGAAGGACAGCAGGTGACTGGAATATTTCTAACTCCTAAGTGGGTAGTGTCTCTATTGGTAGCACAGCCACCAATTCATCTGAGACGCAAGGAGGCTGCTGATTTACTTCAGGCAGTGAGATGAGAACCTTCTGTAGAGATACCTGCCCTGAGACAGCAGGGTTACTTGGTAAAGGATTAGTGCTTCACCAAAGGCATTGTGGGACCAAAGAGGTAGATCCCACTGCCCATCTCTTTAGGGCTAACCTCATGCACCCACATCTCATGTGAAACACTATGTGGAATCTCACTCCTGGAAACCTGGCTAGGGTTAGAAAGTTCATGTTCACCATTTGCCAATACCTTCTGCTGATAAATACAAACATGAGAGACTCACATGTCTTAGCCATATTCTCCAAAGAATCCAAAATAGATTGGCTTCTTGAACTGAGATGTTCCTCAGACTTTTCCACAGACATCTGCAACTAAGAAACCCAAAATTAAGAAAACATTCACAGACTGTTGCCTTATTTTACTAACTTGGAGAATTGTCATTTAATGATCAATAAGGGTACTTAAAAATTGTGATTCTACAAGAACTAAAGACAAGACAGTATAGTTACTAAACTTCTTAAGATGTAAGATGCTCTAACTCCTTAAAATGTAGCTATACTTACCCTATGAATGCTTTCTCTGACCTGGGAAACAAAGTTGTATAGAGTCTCACTAGAATAGGAGAAAAAGAAAAACAACAAAGCTTTGTGAAATATTGAAACAACATGCAACAGAATTGATTCCATGAATATGGCAGGTGCCCATCTAGTATAGCATCAAAATACTGATCAGAGTTGGTGATTCAACCTGAGAAACTTCAGTGCCAGTTGGGGGGAATGTTAATTCTCCTTTAAAAAAAGGAGAATGTTAATTGTGACCGTTTCCAAGGCAAATCACATTTTTATTTTTAAAATTAACAATATATATATCTTAAATAAGAGTGAATTTTAGCAACAAAGTAGTTACTAGAGAAGGAAAGACCACCTTTCATTTTTACATCAACACTGGCTTCAGCAGTAGTGTTTTTTTTCTAGTAGTCCAAAATTCCTAAACACATCTTTGTCTTACCATTATGTTGACCAAAATAATGAAACTAATATACAGACAATTCTAGGGAAAATATTAATTTTCAATGAAAAAGAAATTATGACATATTTCTCAAATAAACATTCCATTCCTTTTTTTTTTCCAGTACTAAGGATTGAATCCAGGGTCTTATACATGCTAGGCAAGTGGTCTACCACTGCGCTATATCCCCAACTCTTTTTATCTATCTATCTATCTATCTATCTATCTATCTATCTATCTATCTATCTATTTTATTTTGACACAGGGTCTCATTAAGTTGCTCAGGCTGAGTTCAAGCTTGCAATTTCCCTGCTTCCACCTCTTGAGAGCTGGGATTATAAGGCATATGCCACCATGCCCTGCTAAATATCATATTCTTAAAAAGATGAAGACATAGACTGTCATTAATGAAATTCTACAGATTTTGCTTCTTTAATCTATAAAACACAAATAAAAATCAAATTTTGATATCTAAATATGACAACTCTTCATATTAATTCTGTTAGCTATTCTGTAAGACCGACTTTTTTTTTTTTAAGTTGTTAATCAACTTTTAACCCATGTTAGGCAAGTGTTATACCATTGAGCTACAATCTCAGCCCCAAGACTGACTTTTTAACAGAAGAATTTTCATGACTGGGAGTGTAATTAAGTGGTACAGTACTTGACTACCATGTGCAGGACCCTGAGTTCTATTCCCACCAAAAACCCCCCAAAAATCTAGAACCATATTCTCCATGTGAGAAAGATTGGGATATTGCTTGAAAGCTTTAAAATGAAAAAAAGTAAATTAAGAATTTAAGAAGTGAAAGTTGTTATATTATAAAAGCAGAGAACAAGAAATAGTACCTAGAAATTAGAAATTAAAAATAGCAGAGGGCTTGGGCTGTAGCTTGTTTTTTGAAAAAATAAATAAAATTGATAAACTCTTAGCCACCCTAATGAAAAGAAGAAGAGAGAAAACTCAAATTACTAAAATTCATGATGAAAAAGGAAATATCACAACAAACACTATTGAAACACAGAAGATAATTAGAAACTATTTTGAAAAATTATACTCTGTTAAAATAGAAAATCCTAAAGACACTGACAAATTTCTAGAAACATATGATATGCTCAAACTTAATCAAAAGGACATACAAAATTTAAACAGATCAATTTCAAGCAAAGAAATAGAAGACTCCATCAAAAGCTTACCAACTAAGAAAAGCCAGGGACCAGATGGATTCTCAGCTGAGTTCTATAAGACCTTAAAAGAAGAATTAATACCAATACTCTTCAGGTTATTCCATGAAATAGAAAAGGAGGGAACCCTACCAAACTCATTCTGTAAGGCTAGTATCACTCTGATTCCAAAAGACACATCAAGGGGCTGGGGCTGGGGCTCAGTGGTACAGCACTCGCCTAGCATGAGGCTCTGGGTTAGATCCTCAGCACCACATAAAAATAAATAAATAAAATAAAGATATTGTGTCCAACTAAAGAAATAAATTTTAAAAAAGACACATCAAGGAAAGCAAACTTCAGACCAATATCCCTGATGAACATAGTGCAAAAATTCCCAGTAAAATTCTGGAAAATAACATACAAAAACATATTAAAATGATAGTACACCACAATTAAGTAGGGTTCATCCCAGGGATGCCAGATTGATTCAACATACAGAAATCAATAAACATAATTCATCACATCAGTAAATTAAAGACAAGAATCATGATTATCTCAATAGATACTAGAAAGCATTTAACAAAATACAGCACCTCTTCATGTTCAAAACACTAGAAAAACTAGGGATAGTAGAAACAACATACCTCAACATTGTAAAAGCTATCTATGCTAAGCCCAAGGCCAACATCATTCTAAGTGAAGAAAAATTGAAAACATTCCCTCTAAAAACTGGTACAAGAGAGGGATATCCTCTTTCACCACTTCTATTCAACAGTTCTTGAAACTTTAGCTAGAGTAATTAGACAGATGAAATAAATTAAAGGGATACAAACAGGAAAAGAACTCCAACTATCACTATTTGCTGATGATATGATTCTATATTTAGAAGATCCAAATAATTCCACAAGAAAACTTCTAGAACTAATAAATGAATTCAGCAAAGTAGCAGGATATAAAATCAATATCCACAAAATCAAATGCATTTCTATACATAAGTGATGAATCCTCTGCAAGAGAAATTAGAAAAACCACCCCATTCATGATAGCCTCAAAAAAACAAACAAACAAAAAAAAACTTGGGAATCAATCTAACAAAAGAGGTAAAAAAAAAACTTCTACAATGAAAACTATAGAACACTAAAGAAAGAAATTGAAGAAACCTCAGAAGATGTAAAGATCTCCCATGCTCTTGGATAGGCAGAATTAATATAATCAAAATGGCCATACTACCAAAACCGTTATACAGATTAAATGCAATTCCTTTAAAAATCCCAATGACAGTGCTGGGGATGTGGCTTAAGCGGTAGCGTGCTTGTCTGGCATGTGCGGGGTGCTGGGTTCGATCCTCAGCACCACATAAAAATAAAATAAAGATGTTGTGTCCACCAAAAACTAAAAAATAAATATTAAAAAATTCTCTCTCTCTCTTAAAAAATAATTTAAAAAAATCTCAATGACATTCTTCATAGAACCACAAAAAGCAATCATGAAACTCATTTGGAAAAATAAAAAGACCCAGAATAGCTAAGGCAGTCCTTAGCAAGAAGAGTGAAGCAGGAGACATAACAATATCAGACCTTAAACTATATTACAGAGCAATTGTAACAAAAATAGCATAGTATTTACCAAAATAGACATGTAGACCAATGGTAAAAAAGATAAGACACAGAAACAAACCCACATAAATATGGTTATTTCATACTAGACAAAGGTACTAAAAACATACATTGGAGAAAAGATAGCCTCTTCAACAAATGGTGCTGGGAAAACTGGAAATCCATATGTAGTAGAATGAAATTGAACTTCCATCTCTTACCCTGCACAAAAATCAATTCAAAGTGGATTAATGACTTAGACACTAGAACAGAGACCCTGGGCCTAACAGAAGACAAAGTAGGCCCAAATCTTCATCATGTTGGCTTAGGATCTGACTTCCTGCACAAGACTCCTAAAGCACAAGAAGTAAAATCAAGAATCAATAAATGGGGCTGGGGATGTGGCTCAAGTGGTAGTGCGCTCGCCTGGCATGCGTGCGGCCTGGTTTGGATCCTCAGCACCACGTACCAGCAGGGATGTTGTGTCCGCCGAGAACTAAAAAATAAATATTAAAAAAAAAATTCTCTCTCTCTCTCTCTCTCCCCTCTCTCACTCTCTCTTTAAAAAAAAAAAAAAAGAATCAATAAATGGGGGCTGGGGATGTGGCTCAAGCTGTAGCGCGATCGCCTGGCATGCGTGCGGCCGGGGTTCGATCCTCAGCACCACATACAAACAAAGATGTTGTGTCCGCCGATAACTAAAAAATAAATATTAAAAAAAAAAGAATCAATAAATGGGGTGGATTCAAACTCAAAAACGTCTTCTCAGCAAAAAAAAAAAAATCAATAATATGATGAGAGTGCCTACAGAATGGGAAAAAAATCTTTGCCACACCCACCTCAGACAGAGCACTAATATCCAGGATATATAAAGGACTTAAAAATTGGGCCAGGGGCTGGGATTGTGGCTCTTTGGTAGATCGATCGCCTAGCATGGGCGGGACCCTCGTTCGATCCTCAGCACCACATAAAAATAAAGGCATTGTGTTAAAAAAAAAAAAGGTTAAAAAAAAGAATAAAAAGAAATCTTAAAAAAAAAACTGGGCCAGAGCTGTGACTCAGTGGTAGAGTGCTTGCCTAGCATGCATGAGGTACAGCGTTTAATCCCTGACACCACATTAAAAAAATAAATAAAGATATTGTGTCCATCTACAACTAAAAAAATATTTTTAAAATACCTCAAAAACATAATAGCAAAAAACCCAAATAACCCAATGAATAAATGGGCTAAGGAAATGAACAGACAATTTACAGAAGACATATAATCAATCAACAAACATATGAAAAAATGTTCATCATCTCTAACAATTAGAGAAATGCAAATCAAAACTAAGATTTCAATTCACTTATCAAGAATACAAGCAATAATAAGTGTTGGCTAGGATGTGGAGGGAAAAGGTACACTCATACATTGTTGGTGGAACTACAAATTGGTACAACTACTATAGAAAGCAGTATGGAGATAGATACCTCAGGAAATTTGAACTGAATTCACCATTTGACCCAGCTATCCCGCTCCTTGGGTTTATACCCAAAGGACTTAAAATCAGCATACTACAGTGACTCTGCCACATCAATGTTTATAGCAGCTCAATTCACAATAGCTAAACTATGGAACCAACCTAGATGCCCTTCAACAGATGAATGGATAAAGAAAATCCGGTGCATATACTCAATGAAATATTATTCAGCCTTAAGGAAGAATAAAATTATGGCATTTGCAAGTAAATGGATGGAACTAGAGAATATCATGCTAAGTGAAATAAGCCAAACCCCAAAAAACAAAAGCTGAATGGTTTCTCTGATAAGTGGATGCTGATCCATAGTGGGGTCGGGGGGTGGGGGGATAGGAAAGAATGAAGGAACTTTGGTTTGTGTAGAGGGGAGTAAGGGGAGGGGTGGGTTATGATGATGGGGAGGACAGTAGAAAAAAATGAACATTATTATCCTATTTACATGTATAATTACACTAGTGGAGTAACTCTGAACTAAGTACAGACTGAGGAATGAGAAGTTGTGCTCCATTTGTGTAGTATATGTCAAAATGCATTCTACTATAACATAAATAAATTTTTAAAAAAAGAACAAGGCAGAGGTTATTTTGTTTGTTTGATTGATTGACTGATTGATTTTGGTACTGGAGATTGAACTCAGGGGCACTTAACTGTGGGAAGCCATTTCTGACACGTGATTGGGTGGCCTGAGGCGCTCTGGCTGTGTCGGAGCTTTCCTGGCCCTTTCCTGATGAGAGAGCCCATCTGTGTGGAGGTGTGCCTGACCACTGACCCGGGGGGCCCAATCACTGACCCTGACCTTGGAGTGCAGTCCCCCCTCAACCTTCATTGGATGGAATTCTCCTCTGAATCTCTTGTTCCCCAATAAAAGGCTACTCCCAGGCGTGTTCAAACTCTCTCTCTCCTGCTAGCCCAGAGTAATCCTTGCTGCCCTGATGGGCGGTTAGATGAGGGAACCAGAGAGGGGAGCTGTCTCGGACCTGGCAATATAAATAAGGTAACTGAGTCTGTGTGTTTTATTTCGATCTCATCTAACTAACTTTATGCCTAGAACCTCATTAATGAAACCATTGCGCAGGCCGCATGGTGGACTTAACCACTGAGTCACATCCCCAGTACCCACCCCATTTTTGAGTTTTTATTTTGATAGGGTCTCTCTGAGTTGATAAGGGCCTTACTGAATTGCTGAGGCTGATTTTGAACTCACGATCCTTCTGCCTCAGCCTCCCAGGTTTCTGGGGTTACATGCGTGGGCCATCATGCCTAGAATAAGAGTTATTTTGTATGTCAAGTTCAATAGGCTGAGAGATGTCCAGATAGCTTATGAAACATTATTTATAGGTGTGTATATGAAAGTTTTTGTCTAAGGATTACATGTGAATTTGTAGGATGAGTACAGAAGATAACCCTTATCAATGTACATGGACATCATTTAATGTGTTGAAGGCCCAAATAGAACAGAAAGATAAAAGAAGGGCAAATTCACTCCTTCTTCTTGAGCTGGGATATCCATCTTGTTAGACATTAGAGCCCCCTGGTTGTCAGGCTTTCAAACTCCAGGACTTGTACCAGAAGCCACCACTCACCTTCCTTCTCAGGCCTCCTGACTCAGACTGAGTTATACCTGTGGCTTTCCTGGTTCTCTAACTTGCAGATAGCAGATTATGGCACTTCTTGGTCTAGACAATCTCATGAGCCAATTCATATAATAAGTCAATCTCTGTAACTTTTTTTCTTTGTCTCTGTCTCTTCTTCTCTCTATATACATATAAATCTTATTGATTCTGTTTCTCTGGAGAACATTAATACATGCTATCATATTGAAATTTAATTCTTTGATTACTGACACTCCTTTTTGTTTCCCTCAGAAAAACACAAGCTGCCTTATTCACTTGAAAATGTTGCATACCTGTCACATTGATCTTTTGTCCTTTTGTTTTTCTCCTCAAACTGTGTCAAAAGACCTTTTGACTTTCCAACTGGCAAAGGAAGAGAAAATAGGCCTATATCTTTTGTATCTCCTGCAAAGAGCTGGGGTTTTGTCTGGTACTTTGTGAAAATACTAGGTTCACTCTGTTAAATGAACAAAAAAATCAATATATCATTTCAAACATAAAAATGCATAATATTCACTATTTTCTGTATAATTCAGAATCATATTTAAGTTCCAACCTTATTGCTAAAAACAATATAGCATGTAGCTTTTTTGAATTTCTGTGTCTAACAGGAAATTATATTTACAATAAAACAACTCTTTCTATTAATAGGGTTTCTACCTTACCAGCAAAGATATTTAAAATATCAGTTAAGATTGCTTTAAAATTAATTGCATAAATTTACAGGCAACAACAGAAAATTATTTATGCTATCTCTGAGATGATGTATTAAAGTTTTTAAATGAATAAGTTTAACTAGATTTGCTGATTTTATCTGCTAGTGAATTAAAATACCTATTGATAAGTTTGACATGGATTGGACAATGGTCATGATATCATATGGTGAACCATTTCCTGTATTCAAGGATTCAAGAGACTGTTCCCTCTCCTGGCCCTTATTCATTAACTTGGCCCTCAAAAATCCTCATTTTCTTCCTTCATCAATAATATAATGTAGATTACACACCTATAATCCCAGTGGCTTGGGAGGCTGAGGCAGAAGGATCACAAGTTCAAAGCCAGCCTCAGCAACTTAGTGAGGCCCTAAACAACTCCATGAGACCCTGTCTCTAAATAATATATTAAAAAGGGCTGGGGATTTGGCTCAGTGGTTAAGTGCCCTGGGGTTCAACCCCCATTACCCCCCCCAAAAAAATAAATGTAGTATAATTAATTGAAATCCACAAAGTATGTGAAGTTTCTTAGGAAAAAGTCTATTTAATATAAAATTTAGGGCTGGGGATGTGGCTCAAGCGGTAGCGCGCTCGCCTGGCGTGTGTGCGGCCCGGGTTCGATCCTTAGCACCACATACAAAGATGTTGTGTCTGCTGAAAACTTAAAAATAAATAAATAAAATTAAAAAAAATATATAAAATTTATGTTACTTTATTCCTATTGTATGTAAATTTTTTCTTACAAATTTTCACAAAAAATTAGTGTGACTAGACTTAGGAAATGTATGCAGTATAAGCCTTTTCCTAGAAGCAGTAAGGGACTAACAGTATTTTATATCATTTGGGTAAGAGAAGAAATTACAAGTATTATTATTTTTTGTTCACTTCAGAAGACCAAGTCAAATCTATAGTAGCTTTAAAAATGTATGATTCTACTATATATTGGTATGAAATACATGAAGAGAAATTCTGTAAATCAGACTCACATCCAGAGAATTCTGTTGTGACTGTTTTGAATGTCTCAAGTGGGCACTGAAATCCAAGGGTGCTGACAGGGTCTCTGAATTTTCTGGACAAAACTGAGATCCAAAGAGGAACTGAGAATCACTGAGAGCAGTATAATCAGTCTGATTATTATTCCAGTTAGATGACTTAGTGGTCCTAAAATTAAGCAAGATAAATATATTAAGTGGACATATAACCTAAACAATGAAATCATAGTTTACAAGTGTTTACTTCAGAATATCCTGGGCACAGGGCCAACTTACTCTGACTTTTAAGCCCTCTTTACATGGCCAGTAATATATACAAAGAAGCACAAGAAAGGAGCTGGAGTTGGTCATGGTGGACCTGGCCTCTAATCCCAGTTAATCAGGAGGCTGGGGCAGGAAGATTGCAAGTTGGGAGTCCAGCCTCCACAATTTAGCAAGGCCCTAAGCAACTTAGCTAGACCTTGTCTCAAAAAAGAAAAAGAAAAAGAAAAAAGAAAGAAAGAAAGAAGGAACAAAAGAAAGAAAAAGAAAGAAGGAGGAGGGAAGGAGAGAGGGAAGAAGAGAGTGTGGATCTGGAGATAGAACTCAGTAGAAGAACACTTGTCTAGCATGCTCAAGGTCCTGGGTTTGATCCCTAGCACCATAACACACACCACACAAGGACATTTTGAATGCCACACATTTTTATTATAACCAGTGTTAGAAATACTCAGGCTCTGCAAGAAATCAAACATGTGTTTGAAAGAATGTGGGCAAAGCAAACTTTACTTCTGCCATAAGGCATGCTAGGGAACCTGGCTAGCAAGTACCCCTGGGTGGGCAATTTTATATCCCTAACACTGCATTGCCCTTTGCCCTGATTAGAGGAGTTGATTGGCTAATTTTATAATTAGGGCCAGCAAGATAAGGGCTTTAGTTAAAATGGTTACAATTGCTTTCAATTAGGACTAAATATTCTTTTTTTAGGACCTGGGATTGAACCCAGGGGCCCTTAACCACTGAGCCACAGACCTAGACCATTTTATTTAATTAATTAATTTATTTACTAGTTGTAATTGGACACAATACCTTTATTTATTTATTTTTATGTGGTGCTGAAGATCAAACTCAGTGCCTTATACTTGTTAGGCAAATGCTCTACCGCTAAGCCACAACCCAGCCCCATTATTTTTTATTTTGAGACAGGGGCTCACTAAATTGTTTAGGGCCTTGCTAAGTTGCTGAGGCTTTGAACTTTCAATCTTTCTGCCTCAGCCTCCTGCCTTAGCCTCCTGAGTCATTGGGATTACAGGCAGGCACCATCACACCCAGCAGCTGGAGTGACTATTATTTCCATGGTACCTAAAAATTGCACACACAATCAAACATATAAATGAACACTGACTTGATTTTATTCCTTACTACTTCAATAGAGTTGCCCCAATGAAGGTCAGTTTCCAAATGTTGGACTATGTCTGATTCTCATAGGTCCAATCCGTAGGCCCAATGCAGGGTAAAAAGTCATTGCTCAGTTAATATATGAATTAACATCACTTTTGTAATCAATAAATGGGAAAAAGACACAAGAAGGAGCAATGGTGACAGAGGATTAGAAGAGATAGTACAGAGCATTTCTACCACTACAACCCAATAGGAAGGGGACCTTCTTTCTAGAATCAATAAGACTCTCTCTTTTTTTAATTGTAGATGAACACATTTATTTTGTTTTATTATTTATTTTTATTTGGTGCTGAGGATGGAACCCAGTGCCTCACACATGCTAGGCAAGCGCTGTACTACTCAGCTATAACCACAACCCAGAAAACTTACCCTGGGCCTGAAGGAATACTGAGCATCTCTTTGATGTTCCAGACATTAAAATTCATTTCTTATGATTGTCTCTATTAAAAGAACAGAAGAATATTAATTAAGAAATTTAACATGATATAATATTTTCCAAAGAAAAGCAATTTTACTAGTAATCTTACTACATGTAAATGAGGACATTTCAGCAGTTACATTCCCATCCAGTTAATGAAATTTTGTGTTACCTATGTGCCAAAAATAGGTTATCTTCTATCATTAAATTGCACACAACTGGGTGCAATGATGCATGCCTGTAATTCCAGAGACTTAGTCTGAAGCAGGAAGATTGCAGGTTCAACAGCAGCCTCAGCAACTTAGTGAGACTCTGTCTCAAAATTTAAAAAGTAAAATAAAAGGTCTTGGTATACAGCTCAGTGGTAGAGTGCTCCTGGGTTTAATTCCCAGTATTTAAAAAATGTAGAAAGAAATTTTAAAAAAGAGAAAAAAAAATATACAAATTCCCACTTGACACCAGGGAATGCTCAAAATCACCTATGAAACTGGAAATTTGCCTTGCTTTGCTCTTTGCCCTTTTCTCTTGTTGTCCTATGAATAATCTGCTTTTAGGAAAGAACCAATATACCTTATCTTTCATTGCTTGATGCAATGAATGACTTAACCCATTACCTCTCCCAAGAAGACTAGTTTTCCTGAGACCATAAGATATTGGAATGTCAAGAGAGAGGTAGAATTTGGGGAATTAAGGAGTCAGATGAAGAGGGAGCGCATTGAATAAAAGTGCCTTCCCACACCTCTTAAAAGCAGTGCCTTCTCTACCTACTTTGCTTTTCTGCTCAGTGAGTACTGCATACCATAGGTCATTATAATAACCATACAGCCTGAATTTTTTGTTAAATATTTTTTAGTTGTAGTTGGACACAATGTCTTTCTTTCTTTCTTCCTTCCTTCCTTCCTTCCTTCCTTCCTTCCTTCCTTCCTTTCTTTCTTTATTTATATGTAGTGATGAGGATCCAATCCAGTGCCTCACACATGCTAGGCAAGCACTCTACCACTGAGCCACAACCCCAGGCCTAGCCTGAATTTTATAAGTCAAATTTAGAAATTTTAATACATTTTTAGTTGGACACAATACCTTCATTTTATGTATTTATTTATTTTTATGTGGTACTGAGAATTGAATCCAGCACCTCACATATGCTAGGTAAGCACTCTACCACTGAGCCACAACCCCAGCCCCTAATTTAGAAATTTATCTTTCCGGGCTGGGGATGTGGCTCAAGCAGTAGCACGCTCGCCTGGCATGCGTGCGGCCGGGGTTCGATCCTCAGCACCACATACCAACAAAGATGTTGTGTCCGCCGAGAACTGAAAAATAAATATTAAAAATTCTCTCTCTCTCTCTCCCTTCTCTCTCACTCTCTCTTTAAAAAAAAAAGAAATTTATCTTTCCAAACTCACAAAGCATTCATATTTATCAGATAACATTTTACCACTGTGATATCAGAAATATGATTTTTTATCCCTACACATATGGTAGAATAAACCATCAAACATTAAACACTTTTTCAACACAGACCTAACCTAGATAAAATAAAACAGAAGTTCTAAATAAATATTTTAATGTATGTAAAATTTTTCTAATTTTCTAGAAAAACAGATGTATTTTTTCATGTTTATAAATACTTGTTTTACATGAATGTTAAGTACAGACCATAAGATCAAGGGGCTATAAGCACTGCCATTTAGTTTTGTATTGTGTGCTAGGTACAATGCTAGTGTACATTTATTTAATCCTCCCAATGATTTTTTGAGGCAGGTGTTATCACCATTTTTTTGTGAGCAAAGTTCATATAAGCTAATTAACCAGCTCAAGTCTTCTCCAATAATTAGGGGTAAGATATTTCCAAGCTAGGTGAGTTCAGTACAATAAGTCATGATATTTCAAGTACACCAGTCTGTTTCTTAACATTGGCTGTTTGAGGGTACTTTTTAGAACTAAGCATCTCTAATGTTTCCCTGTATTAATAGCAAGGTAATAAATGGAAAGGTTATGTCTTTTGAGGCACCAGACCAAGATTCAAATCCTAACTCTTCTACCTACAAACTGAGTGAACTTGGAAAAATAAGTTAACTTCTTTGAACCTCAGTTTCCTCATTAGTTAAATGAGCATAAGACAATAACTATCTTAAAAGAATGGGGAATGGAGGGTAGAAACTGGTGCCATGGCAAATGCCAGCAATCCCAGCAGCTCTGGGATGCTGAGGCAGGAGGATCCCAAGTTCAAGGCCAGCCTCAGCATTCTAGTAAGGTCTTAAGCAACTTAGTGAGACCCTGTGTCAAAATAAAAATGAAAAAGGATGGGAATGTAGCTCAATGAGTGGTTTAGTGTCCCTGGGTTCAATTCTTGGTACTAAATTTTAAATGAGTGCATCATTAAGAACGTCCTAACACACAACTTCTTCTTGACCTTTTCTGAAGTTTGGTACAAAAAAAAAAAAAAAAAAAGAATGCGGATAAAGATTCAAGAAGATGAATATGAGGTAGCTCAGTGGCAGTGGTAAAATGCAAGTTTAACATGCATGAAGCCCTAGGTTCAATCCACAGCAGCAGCAACAAAACGACAACAACAAAAGTAATATCTAGTACCTGGTATGGAAACTGATACTTATTAGCTGTTTCTTAATTACTGTCTCAGACTCTGGCTTTACCTTTCTCAAATGAATCCATGGTTTCCTTGGGCTGACCACATTCACCTGCTCTCAGTTCATAAGACTCCATATAACAGATCATAAACTCTCACATTCACTCCAGCAGCAAAAAATGTTCCTGCAGAGTTGAAACTGAGTATTACAGTTAATTTTTTGGTCTCAACCCTCCTGAACAGAGTTTAGATAATTTCTTCTTTGTAAATCAATGCAATACTGCTTTCCCACAAAGCAAATAAGTATGTGTTTTTTGTTGTTTGTTTTTTATGGTAATGGTGATTGAGCCCAGGGGCACTCTACCTGAAAGCCACATCCCAAGATCCTTTAAACATTTTTTTTTTTAACTTTGAGACAGTGTCTTGCTAAACTTCTCCTCAAACTTGTGAATCTCCTGCCTCAGCTTCCCTAATCGCTGAGATTACTGGTATGCACCATTGCTCCTAGCAAGCAAATAAATTAGTAAAATACCTCAGAGTGAGATGAGAACTGAAAAAAAAAATTTAAAAACCCAGCTAAGCAAGAAGCAGTGCTGTGTAATCCCAGCAGCTCAGAGGCTGAGGCAGGAGGATTAAAAATTCAAAGTCAACCTCAGCAATTTAGAGAGGCCCTGAGCAACTTACTGAGACCCTGTCTCAAGATAAAAAGCAGGTTGGGGATATGGCTCAGTGGTTAAGTGCCCCTGGGTTTAATCCCTGGTACCAAACACAAACAAACAAAAAACCCAGTTACATTATTAAGATGGGTTCACTGGTGAATTCTTTGAAACATCTAAGAAAATAATTATACCAATTTTCTCCAATCTTTTCCAGAAGATAGAAGTTCTGGGGATCCTTTCTAACTTATTCTATGAGACCAGTATTACCCCATTCTAGACAAAGACATTACAAGAAAACTAGACCACCATGACTCATGAGCATACATGCAAAGTCCTCAACAAAATATAATCAAACAGAATCCAACAATTTAAAGAGAATTATAAAGCATAACCCAGTGGGATTCATTCCAGAAATTCAAGGCTGTTTCAACATTCAAAAACGAATTGATGTGGGCTAAGGTTGTGGCTCAGTGGTAGAGAATTTACCTCACATGTGTGGGGCACTGGGTTCGATCCTCAGCACCACATAAATAAATAAAATAAAGGTATTGTGTCTATTTACAACTAAAATTTTTTTTAAAAATGATCCACCACATTAACAAACTAAAGAGGAAAAATTACATGATCAGATCAACAGATGCAGAAAAAGAAAGCATTTAACAAAATCCAACACTGATTAAAAAAAAAACAAAAACAAAAAACCTCTCAGCAGCTGAGTGTAATCCTAGCAACTGAGGAGACTGAGGCAGAAGGATCAAAAATTTGAAGTCTGCCTGGGTAACTAATTCAGTGATACTCTGTCTAAAAATAAAACAGTCTGGAGATGAAACTCAGAGGTAGAGTACTGGCTTAGCATATGCAAGGTTCTGGATAGAATACCTAGTACCAAAGTGAGCCTCTCAACAAACCAGGAATAAAGGTGAAAATCCTAAACTTGATGAATAGCTTCAACAAACCTAAGCTAACATCATATTTAATGGTGAGAAACTAAAATTTCCTGCCAACATCAGGAACAAGGCAAGGCTTTCCCTTCTTATCACTCCTTTTCAAACGTTGTACTAGAAGTCCTAGATAATAAAATAAGACCAAAAAGAAAAGAAATAGAAAGCACCAGAATGGGAAGGAATAAATACAACTGTCTTTGTTCACATAATATATGATTGCCTATTTTTTAAACCTTTTTCATTTATCCATTTACGAAAACACACATAATGTTTAAATATATTACTTTATGGAATTTAAGAAGTCAAAGTACTTGTTTTTATATTTAGTAGTTGTTGTTTTAGCATTTTACTTTGCAAATTAATCAGATGTCTCCTTTAACAAACACATTGATTGCCTATTTTTTAATATTTATTTTTTAGTTTTAAGTGGATATATATTTTTATTTTATTACTATGTGGTGCTAAGGATCAAACTCAGTGCCTCATGCATGCTAGGTGAGCATTCTGTAAGTGAGCCATAACCCCAGCTCATGATTGCCTATTTTGAAAATCTAAAAGAATTAACAAAAATATTTCTAGAACTGATAAGTGATTATACTGAGGATACAAAGGATAATCACTTATTAGGATACAAAGTTAACATACAAAATCAATCACTTTCCTATATACCAATAATTAACAAATATAATTTGAAATTAAAAAAACAATAACATTTATATTAGTACTAAAACATCACTTACAACTCTGACAAAACATATGCCAAATATATGAGAAAAACTATAAAACGCTGATGATATAGAAACTTATATTATGAATAGTGACAAGCTGATTCTAAAGTTTATAGAGAGCCAAAATACCAAAATAAATAAATAAATAAAAGAGGTGTAAAAGCCAGAGAACTAACAATATCTAGTTTTAAGATTTACTATAAATTTATGAGTAATCAAGACAAAAAAAATAGACAAAAAGATCAATGGAATAGAGAGCCTAGAAGTAGACCCACCGCTAAATATAGTCAGCTGATCTTTGAAAGAAAAGCAAAGATAATACAATCAAAAAATAGTCTTTCAACAAATGATGCTAGAACATCATGCAAAAGAAAATAAATTTAGACATAGCTCTTATACCTTTTGCAAAAATTAGCTCAAAACAGATTTTAGACTTAAATAAAATGCAAAACTATAAAATTCCTAGAAGATAACATAAAGGAAAAGCTAAATGACTCTGGGATTGGGACTGGTGGTAACATTTTAGATACAATGCCAAACATGCTATCCATGAAAGAAACAACAACTGGACTTCCATTAAAATTTAAAACTTGGGCTGGGGATGTGGCTCAAGCATTAGCGCGCTTGCCTGGCATGCGTGCGGCCCGGGTTCAATCCTCAGCACCACATACAAACAAAGATGTTGTGTCTGCCAAAAACTAAAAATACATATTTAAAAAAGAATTTTTTTTTTAAATTTAAAACTTCTAGCTGGGCACAGTGATCTCAGTGTCTGGGGAGACTGAGGCAAGAGGATAATTCGAGGCCAGCCTCAGCAACTTGGTGAGATCATCAACAACTTAGTGAGATGCTGTCTCAAAATAAAAAATAAAAAAGTACCTGGAATGTAGCTCAATGGTAAAGTGCCCCTGGATTCAATCCCCAGAACAACAACAACAAAAAAAAAAATAGAAAACTAAAAATTTCTCTGTGAAAGATATTCAAGAAAGTGAGGGCTGGGTGTAGTTCAGTGTAGAGTGTCTGCACTGTGTGTATAAGGCATGGAGTTCCAGGTTTCACCTCAGCACAAGAAAAGCTAAGAAGCAAGGAAGGGGGTGCTGGGAGAGAAAGGTAGGAAATTTGAAATGAGAAGACAAGCTACAGACTAGAAGAAAATCTTTCCAAACTTTTGTTTTTACAGTACTGGAATTGGACCTAGGGGCACTCTACTACTAAACTACAGATATCCCTTCCTGAGGGGATTTATCCCTCCAACATCAACTGTGTGGAGCTTGAGGGCACAGAGAAACCCCTCTAGAGACGGTTTCAGAGAACAGAATCTGCTTTATTGCACAGCAAGAATAGCTTTTATAGTGGGTATGTACTTTACATATAACAGTCATGATAGGCCAGAGGGGATATATACATATCATCTTAACGGAAGTCCAAGAGTCCAAAAACTGCCACATAGCCCAACCCCACACCAACAGTGGAATAACTCCTTGTCAAAGGAGCAAGGAAATTGCTCTTGCCAGTGTTCTGACAGCATGTTGTCCCAAAATATAATGTCCTATGAGCAAGATAAACATTCTTCCATGAGAGTCCAAGGTTAGGCCCTGCAGCAATTCCTACACCTTTTTATTTTATTTTACTTTTGGACAGGGTCTCACTAAATTATGGAGGCTGGCCTTGAACTTGAGATCCTCCTGCCTCAGCCTTCTAAGTTGCTGGAATTACAGCGTGCACTGCCACTGCCCAGAAAAAGTAATATCTAATGAAGGATTGGTATACAAAATATACAATGAATTTCCTTATTGGTACCAGGAATCAAACCCAAGGTCTTACACAAATTAGGCAAGCACTCTACAACTGAGCTACATCCCTAGACCTGCAAAAATCTCTTAAACTCAATAATAAACTGGGTGTGGTGGTGCATGCTTATAATGCCAGCTACTCAGGAGACCGAGGTCAGAAGATTGCAAGTTTGAGTCCTGCCTAGACAACTTAGGGAGTCCCGGTCTCAAAATTAAAAATAAGGATGTGAGGGCAATATAGCAGAGATTTCTGTCACCCCATTGATCACTAGGATTGATTGGCTGATCTGGCTGGCTAGGAAGCTGTCTGCTTCCTCTTCACTGCACCATGTGCATCCCTACAGAAACTGCACATTAGGTCAAAGAGGATAATCTTCCCTGTCAGAAGAGGACAATTCTTTGGTCAATGGTATTTGAACAGCTATGCTCACCTGATAGAAACTCCAAACAAGCTCTAAAATTAAAAATAAAAGCTCAGTGGTAGAACACCTTTGGGTTCAGTGGCCAGTAACTCAAAATAAATAAATAAATAAAAGAGGTGCAAGCCAGGCATTGTGATGAGTATCTGTACAGCCAGCTATTCAGGGGGCTAAGGCAGGAGAATCATTTCAGGCCAGCCTGGGCACTATAAATAAGACTCCAACTCAAAAATAAATAAATAAGCAAATAAAATTAAATAGAAGAGGTATATTTATGTAAATACAAGACATAGTTTTTTTTTGTTCCCTACAGAAATTCCTCCTTCTAGAATTTAGACTTAGAATTTAAACAATATTACACACATTACTACATCAAGGTCATTATTTAATGTCATTATTCAATACCTAAATAAAACCACTATCATTTTTCATCTCTGTTTCAACTGAGATGAAATTTATATAGCCCATGTCTTAGGGTTTAGAATATACTAGTTTCCACCTTATCCTAGCAGGATATGTTCCAAGACCCCCAGTGGATGCCTGAAACCACAGATAATACACAATCCTATAATTTAATGCCTTTTCCTTTTTTTTAAAGAAGAGAGAGAGAATTTTTAATATTTATTTTTTAGTTTTCGGCGGACATGACATCTTTGTATGTGGTGCTGAGGATCGAACCCGAGCCGCACGCATGCCAGGCGAGCGTGCTACCGCTTGAGCCACATCCCCAGCCCCTGCCTTTTCCTTTTTCTTTTTTTTTTTTGTACTAGGGATTTAGGGACTAAACTCAGGGGGCTTTACCACTAAGCTACATTCACAGTCCTTTTTGAGACAGAATCTAAGTTGCAGAGACTGGCCTAGAACTTGCAATCCTCCTGCCTCAGTTTCCTGAGTTACTAGGATTAGGATTCCACCTTTTTTTAATATTTATTTTTTAGTTGTAGGTGAACATAATATCTTTTTTTTTTAATATTTATTTTTTTAGTTTTTCGGCGGACACAACATCCCTGTTTGTATGTGGTGCTGAGGATGGAATCTGGGCCGCACGCGTGCCAGGCGAGCACGCTACCGCTTGAGCCACATCCCCAGCCCCTGAA